CCCAGCATCCCACTTCAAGACTTCTAGATAGGCCACTGGGGAACCCTACACTTTGCTAATAATAATGATACAGCAGATGCAACTGATGAATTAATGATGGTTAAAGAAGATGAGGACAATCTTATTTAAAGTTGATATTGCTATGCATTAAAAACTAAGTATCCCTACAGTATGTTGCTTTGATCATATGAACTACTTGTAAGGTTTTTGGTATGGGTTGTTGACATAGGAAACATGAGTGCATTATTGTTTTCCAATCCTTAATTTCTAATAATATATGCTTCATAAATTATTAAGCTATTCAAATATTGAACTTTATCAAGGTTTTTAGGTCGACATACACACTGTATCTTTACTATCCTTTCTCATATTCAAATTCATTGCTTAGGAATTATTTTATGATTACAAACGAATTGCTTCTTTGATACAATGTATATCCTCGTTTTGTCGACAGATTAAACAGAAAATATTTCCATTGTTCTTAAGCAGTGAGCATGTGATGAGAAATTTAACAGGAAGCTTGTGACAGTGTAGAATCTAGTACTACTGTAGTACTACCACAGGATCTAACTGTCTGTTATTATGCTTGTTCAAGAGTGCCTTGTAATGCTTTTAGGGAAATTGGCCAAGTCTGAAGCCATAGGACTTCATGTCTAGTAGCCACATGCAGGCTGAACGTAATTAGGCAGAACCATTACTTCCGAAAAGAAGATATGGCATTTGTTGGAATTTTTTAGAGTACCGTTTGCTATGATTATTTATAGTTTTAAATTAATAATTAATAATCATAAATTATTTTAAACAATCATGGAAACGGTTGCATCACATTGAGTGATTCTTCTATAAGGCAGTAATTGTCATAATATTTTAGTATAAAAAATAATATGCAAAATATCAAGATTTATTACAAATTATCTAAATTGTGATTTGTTGACTGAAAGATCTTGTTTATTAAGGGTACTTTTATTTTACATTGTAGGTTTTCTTTATTTTCGTCACATCTGCCATTGTCTCCATAAAGTCTCTCAATAGGCAATCCTAAACAATTAAATTTATATAAGGTATTTATTAATCTGAATATTGCACTATTTATATAGCAAAGTCGCATTCTTATTAGAAATATAATATCTTAAAAAATTTCATTTTTTTTTTTTGAAATTTCCACTTTTTCAAGGTGGCTGATTGGTCGAAAATAAAATTTTATTTTTATTTGAAATCATCAATATTTTCAGTCGGCAGTTCACTAAACAAGGTAAAAAAAGTCTTACCTAAAATACGATTTTACTGTTTGAACCGTATTTTGACACTTTGACTGGTGATACCATTTTAACTGTCTTAAAAAGCCAGTTTTTGTTTTCATCTAATACCATAAACTTTTTTTCTAGGCTTCAGAAAAAAGCTCATTTTTAATCAATAGAAACAGTGCCAGCCAGATGCAATAACAAAAAAATACACATTTATAATATTGAAATAACAAATGGTTTGTGTTGAATAACAATTGTTTATGTTTCCATGAAGTGTAGTGAATTCTTTTTAAAAATTTCTTTGAAATCTCTGAAATATATGATTTTTATTCACCTATTAACCTGACACAGATTTCTCAAGTAGTTAATAAATATTCACCCTCGCTAGGGAAATTTTGACATTTACAACTTGGACTCAATGAATAGCTCTGAAAGGGTTTAAACCCCAGGCAGTAGTTGCTGGGTTTAAAGATCTTTAAAGGGGTATACATAGATTTCATTTACTGTTAACAATTTGTAATTTGTTTTTGTCTACATTTCATATCTAGTTATTGTGTGCTGAAGGTGTAAAATCAAATCAGTAGTATTATATCATGGTAAAACTATTTGGGAAGAAGAAACTACAAGAAGAATATCGGTTTTTTTAAAATTAAATAGTTAAATTTTGTAGTTCTTTGTTGCTATTCTCTAAACTGTTTGCTGCTATTGTTATAAAATATAAGGGAAAATGAAATAGAATGGAATCTTCCAGATTGTTCATAGAAACTGAAACACTGAATCATTTGAATATGAACAAAGCTGTATATTGTTTTTGACAACGAAACATTCCATAAAAGTGATTTTCTAAAAGCGGATTGTTGATTCAAGTCTAACTGATCCTTTAATTCCTCCACAGGTAGTCAAGTTTACATGTTTTTGTTTATTACTTTGTTTATATTTTATGTTATTTCAAATAACAATTAATGTGTGTAAAATGTTTTAATATTCTATTAAAAACTATCTCATTTTGAGAGTAGGGTTGTTTTTAACCATATTGATTCTGGAATCAAGGAATGAAGGCACAAGAACAAATACAGTTGATATTTGGATCAAGAACGGGTATTAATATATAAAATTAGTATCTAAAATTAATTTAAAATTAATGTTGTTGTACAGACATTAAACATAAAATAAAAAATATAACAACAAATACAGTTGATATTTGGATCCAGATATTTAAACAATGGGTATTAATATATAAAATTAGTATCTAAAATTAATTTAAAATCAATGTTGTTGTACAGACATTAAACATAAAATAAAAAATATAACAACAAATACAGTTGATATTTGGATCCAGATATTTAAACAATGGGTATTGATATATCAAATTAGTATCTAAAGTTAATTTAAAATTAAT